GGCTGGGAGCACGGGGGTGGCTGCTAGCAGGGTTTTGGAAGTGTGGCTGGAACCAAGTTCGTGGCACCATGCCTCTCTGTCCTAGGGGGCAATTTCCCCATTATTCTAGGGGCTTTGGGGTGAATATTTCCTTCCCCATTAAACGGTGGGGAAGGAGAGGATCCCAAAGAGGCAGAAGATATGATCGTCAACAGGACAGACCTGAAACTTGGAATTTTTTGGTGCTGAGGATTGAACTCAGGGGCACTTGACCTCTGAGCCCCATCCCCAGCCCTATTTGGTATTTTATTTAGAGACAGGGTCTCACTGAGTCGCTTAGCGCCTTGCTTTAGCTGAGACTGGCTTTGAACTCTGATCCTCCTGCCTCAGCCTCCCCAGCCGCTGGGATAACAGGCGTGGGCCACTGTGACCGGCTGACACTCGGATTTCAATGGCAGCTTGGTCTTTTCCCAGTTCTCTGGCCTTGGGCCACTGCTGGAGGGGGGTCTGCTCAGAGCGGGGCAGGGCGCGGTTGGTCTTGCTGGTGCGGGTCAGCTTCGGGCGGTCACTGTCGCCCAGCTGCCCCTCATGACCTGCCTTGCCTTGCAGAGGATGGAGGACGCGGAGTATAACTCCTCGCTCCCCTACGACGACGAGTACCTGGATGATCTGGGCCCCGTGTTGGTGCTGGACGACCACCCTCCCCCGGAGGCCAGGGTGACCCGGGTCCTCGTGGTGGTGATCTACAGCCTCGTCTGCCTCCTGGGCATCCTGGGCAACGGCCTGGTGATCGTCATCGCCACCTTCAAGATGAAGAGGACGGTGAACAGCGTGTGGTTCCTCAACCTGGCCGTGGCCGACTTCCTCTTCAACGTCTTCCTGCCGCTGCACATCACCTACGCCGCCCTGGACTACCACTGGGTGTTCGGCAGGGCCATGTGCAAGGTCAGCAGCTTCCTGCTCATCCACAACATGTACACCAGCGTCTTCCTGCTCACCGCCATCAGCCTGGACCGCTGCGTCTCCGTGCTGCTCCCCGTCTGGTCCCAGAACCACCGCAGCGTCCGGCTGGCCTACACGGCCTGCGTGGTCATCTGGGTCCTGGCCTTCTTCCTGAGCTCCCCGTCCCTCGTCTTCCGGGACACGGCCAGCCTGCACGGCAAGACCTCCTGCTTCAACAACTTCAGCCTGTCCGCGGCCGGCCCGTCCGGCCGGGTCGGGTCCAGCCCACACGTGCTGGTGACCGTCATCCGCTTTCTGTGTGGCTTCCTGGTCCCCGTCCTGGTCATCACGGCCTGCTACCTCACCATCGTCTGCAGGCTGCGGCGCCACCGCCTGGCCAAGACCAAGAAGCCCTTAAAGATCATCGTCACCATCATCGTCACCTTCTTCTGCTGCTGGTGTCCCTACCACACTCTCTACCTGCTGGAGCTACACCACACTGTCCTGCCTGGCCCCGTCTTCAGCCTGGGCCTGCCCCTGGCCACGGCCCTCGCCATCGCCAACAGCTGCATGAACCCCCTTCTGTACGTCTTCATGGGCCAGGACTTCAAGAAGTTCAAGGTGACGCTCTTCTCCCGCCTGGTCAACGCTCTGAGTGAGGACACGGGCCACCACTCCTCCTTCCCCAGCCACAGGAGCTTCACCCGGATGTCGTCAGTGAACGACAAGTCTTCCGTGAACGAGAGGGAGACCAGCATGCTGTGAGCCTCACCTGGGAGACCTGCAGCGGTCACTCCCAGCCCAGGGGTGCCCAGGGGTGCCCGGGGACGTGCCTTCTGAAAACCAAGGCAGGCACCTCGTGACTGCTCCTTGATGGATACTCGCTGTATTTTGCGTAGGGGTGAACCATGTTTTGAATCCAGGGTGGGGAACCCCTGTCTTTGAGTGGCATGGGGGACAGAGCCGGCCATGTCTCACATGGACCTTGGACCAGCACCCTGAGCTCCAAGGGAGACCAGCCTGGACCCACCCAGAGCAGCCAAGGAAGGATTCTCAAAAGCACCCCCGTGAAATGAGATTGGCTTGAGGCTGTGGTATTCAGCTGCCTACTGGGTACCCCAGGAATACCGTGGGTCCTCTCCAAAGTCCCTGGAGGGAGCAGGAGAGGTCAGGGGGAACCTAGTGTGAAGCAGCTGACGCTTCGTCCCCCGAGATCCTGGCCCTGCAGTGTCCCTCCGGGTGAGGCCTGTGGAAAGGCACAGGATACCGACTGGAGTGACAGACGTCCCTGATCGTGAACTTGGCTTTGAGAGGAGTTGAGAAGATGGAGACGAGGTCCGCGGGGCTTTGTGGATTCTGGCAAGGTCCGCACCAGGGAGCCTGCAACCGGGACTGGAGTCTGGGGAAAGGCAAAGCAAAGACCGACCAAGGCGTGGGCACGGCAGCTGGCCCCAGAGCTCCCCATGGTGGGGCACGTCAGCCGGCCCAGGGGTGGGGGTGGCGGTGGGGACCTGGTGCTACCTGGCAGGACAGCCTGCAAGCTGCCTTGCCGAACCACGTCCCTGAGAGGAAGGCAAACAGCTCCCGTGTGTGCACCTCCGTGTCTGGCTTATTCTCTCCTTCCTTTGGCGGGAAGTGACATTGTCCCACTGACAAATGACAGAGCGGAGGCTCTGAGGAAGGAAGCCAGGCACCCAGCATCACACACACGGCCTCACAGCGGCAGAGATGCGATCTGCCCCAGGCTCTGCCTCCAGAGGCTCCCCTCTGGTATGGAGAATTTGTCTGTTGAGAAGATTCCAGACCATCACGTGGCCCATGTTCAGCGTCCATAAGATATTTACTCCCCACGGTGGCCCTGAGCTAGGCACAATGGTCATTTCCCTTTTGCATATGAGGAATCACAGCTCAGAGAGGTTAAGGGACTTGCCCAGGGTCACCCAGCTAGTTTGCTGGAGGCTGGATGGGAACCTCAGTTTGCTGGGTTCAAACAAGGCGGCAGAGTCAGGAAGGAGCTAGAGAGGTTGGGGCTTCTTTGTAACAGGGTGCTGCTGGGGGTTGAACCCAGGGGCGCTTTACCACCGAGCAACATCCCCAGGGCTTTTTGTGTGTTTGTTTGTTTGCTTTATTTTGTATTTTGAGACAGAGCCTCCCCACGTTTCGGAGGCTGGCCTCGTCCTGGCACCCCTCCTGCCTCAGCCTGGGATCGGAGGCGAGCGTCACCGCGCCTGGCGAGAGGTTAGGTTTTGAGCGTAGCTTGATTTTTTCAGCAGATCAATGTGAAAATCTCAATGGCCCTTTCAGGAGCTTCTGCAAATCGTTTTCAAAATGATCCAAAACGGCAGAGAAAATGCACTTGGCCTCCAGCTCCCTGGACACCCATCAGCACCCTGCCCCCGCCCTCGGGACCCCCACCCTCAGCGCACCCCCGAGGTCTCTGTCGGACGGAGGCCTCTTGGCCCCGAACCGCCCAGGTCCCTTGGTTGGGAAGCCTGTCCTCCAGATGTCACGTCGACCTCACGCTGGGCCCGTTCCCGATCTTTGGGCTGTTTGGAGTCACACTTCATCAAGGGACAGACTGTTCCTTCCTGTGGGGTCTGGGAGCTTTCGATGGGGGAGCTCTGAGTCCATTTGAGCCTCCGACGGCCTCAGGGATAGCGACCTGCACAGTTGGACGGGAAATGGAGCTTTGAAGACGGCCCAGCGCCCCTGCCGTCCCCGCCCAGGTTCACAGAGGAGGCGCTAGGTGCCGGGTCACGGAGGCGGTCCTCTGCCACTCAGGCCTCCGGGCTGTGGGGACAGTGCTTCTCCTGGGCTGCAGGGGAGGCCCGGCCAGGCGGGGGGCCAGGAATTCATGGGGTCACGGGGGTCGCCGACAAGCAGGACGGGATGCAGACCAGCTGTCCTCCCCCCTCTCTCCTGGATGCCACACCAGCGTCCCTGTTCCGACTGACTTTTTCTGTTAGGGATGTCGGTGTGACCAGGACATCCCCTCCTGTCTTGGCCCCACGGTGTCTTCTGTAATCCCTGCAGTTGGTGAGCGTGCTCCTGTGTCACACTCCACGGGTAACCCACACGCCCAGGGCCTGGCTTCTTCTCTCTGGGCTGGGACCCAGCCAGTGGTCTCAGTGCTACCTCCGGGGCCAGGTGGGTCGAGGGGACATGAGGACGAATGGCAGAGAGACCTGAAGAGAAGAGAGTACCTGAGGGTGGGGGAGGGAGGGAGGGGGAGCAGAGCACACTGATGACCGAGAGGGCTCTGGCGTTTACTGAGCACCGACCATGTGTCACCTACCATGTGTCACCTACCATGTGTCACCTACCATGTGTCACCTACCCTGTGACTGGCCTGCGGGGGGGGGGGGAGGACTACCGTGGCCCTGTGGGTGGTGCGGAAAGCGAGGCTAGGAACTGGTCACGCTTACCTGGGGGACACGGGTTAGGAAGGGGGCAGCTGGCTTGGAGCCAGGGCTGCTGTCTGGGCCCCCACCTCCATTTTTCTAGCAACCAAGCACGCAAAGGGGTGGCGACTTGGTCAGTCTAAGAGCAAAGGCCTGGCGGATGGGAGAGAAAGGCCAGGCCTCCTGGCTCCTAAGTCTTGCTCTTGAGCACTGCTGGGGCCAGCTCAAGGGCCCATCCCCCACTGACCATCCCCTAACACTCCCCATCCCCCCAACACCCACCATCCACCCACACATCCACCCACTCATCTCCCCACCGCCCACCCACACACCTGTTACCTGAGCACCTATTATCCACCCACTCGCCCATTACAGCGCATTTAACACCTGCTCTGTGCTGGGAGCCCAGGGAGGCCCTGGGACACAGGATAACCAAGCCACACCGTCTCTGACCTCTGGAGAGTGGGACAGACAGCTGACCATTAAAACCCACCAAACCCGCCCATCCCCGTGGAGAAGACCCCCAGTGAAGGCCACACACTTATTCTAGAGGGACCTGACCCCATTAGGAGACAAGGACGCTCCCTGGGGGACACGCTTGAGTTACCTTTGTGGGTACTGGCTTGGTGGAGAGGCCCTGGAGGGGGCGCTCTGGGGGAGGGGACAGGTGGCCAGTCCTGTTGATCTGGGAGATCGACACAGCGGTCACAGGGGAGTGGGGACTCCGTGCGGGAACAGGGCGGAGGCTGGACAGACCCGGGGAGGCCTTCACCCTGAGAGCGAGGGGCCAGGCCTGATCAGGTCTGCACCCCGTGTCCACGGCCCTGGCTGCTGTGCAGGGACCCAGTTGGAGCCGGGCAGAGAGGAAGCAGGCAGTGAGGTGTCCCAGCTGAGCAGGGACAGTCCCTGGACTGGGGGAGGGGAGGTGGAGCCCTGGAGGGGGACTATGGGGAGACAGTGAAGAGCCCCGGGCCCTCTCAGGGGAGCGGTGAGTGGGAAGCCAGGCTGAGCCCGTGTCTCTACACAGAGTCTCGATGCTTTGCTTTATTGACATGAATTAATAGTAAACAGGATTCACACCGACTCCCGGTGCACAATTACCATCCTCGGGGGCCCTGGGCCCTTATTGAGGCCCTTAATTACGGCCCGGTTTCCCTTGGGGTGGGGGGGGCTTTTTCTTGTTGGGTTTCGGGGGTTGTTGGGGGGGTTGGTCGGGGGTCTGTGCAGACAAGATGTCCAGCTGCGGGGACCGGGGTTTAGCCTTGGCCATCACCTGGGCTCTGTCTGGGGGGAATCTTCTAGAAGTGCCTCCCCCCGGGAGGATGTGGCTGCCCCCAGCATGGCCTGGGTTCCTGGTCCAAGGGCAGGTGGGGAGCCAGCAGCAAGCAGCTCGGGCCTGTGCATGGTCCAGTGACTGACAAGGACAACCTGGTGGCCGGAGCTAATGTCATCGGGCATGTTCAAGTGCGGGTGGCCACTTGAGTGTCATTATTTCATTGAGTCCTTGCAGCAACCTCTGTGGTAGGAGCTGTAGCTCTCTCCACATACAGATGGAGAAGTTGCGGTTCAGAGAGGTGAAGTGACCTGTCTGAGGCCACACAGCTACTAAGTGATCAAGCTGGGGTCCCAGCCCTGCTGGTCTCAAAAAATCTGTTTCCCCAGCAACCTGCAGACACAAACTGTCCTCTGAAGGGAGCATGACAGGGTGCGCTCCCTCTCTGGTGTCGGGTTCTGAGGAGGCCCCAGTGAGGGGGTCTGGGGATTGCTTTGTCCTGGAGGGAGGGAAGCCGTGTCGGGTGGGCTTGTCACTTGCAGGCAGCCTTGGGGGGGCTTAGGGTTTTGGAGTTTGGAAGAGACACATCCTGCCCCGCCCTTCCCCTCTCCAGCTCACAGACTGAAACGAAGTCGGGGGGTGCAGCTCATCGGGGGACCTCCTGCCTCTCTGGCCGCTGTGCGCTGAGTGAGTGCAAATGCTCCTGCATGTGGTCAGCGTTCGCCAGGCCGCCCCCTTCACTTCTGAGTTTGTCCCCCAGGCCCCCGGTCTGACCTGGAGGACCTCTGCCCAGGCTCTCCTCGGGAGCCTCGGCAGAATCCTGGCTGGAAGGAGGCAGGTCTTGGCAAAAGTCACTTCAGGGCAGAGACGTGATGTTGGGGGCATGAACTCAACCTTCCAAATTGCCCCAGGTGTGGGCGAGGGGTGTTCCCTGACCCGCAAGGGGTCACATGGGAGTCCTCACAGGTTACACTCCCTTCTCGGTGTGTCTACGGTGAATGCACCGCACAGCAGTAAGTTAAGCCCCAATAAAAGTCTTTTTAAAAATAAAATAGTTGGTGGTAACTGTAGAAACGACTTCCCACGGGCACCCCGCCAGCCAGAAGGAGGAGAGGACCAGATCTGGGGGAATCATCCTGCGGGGAGTGGCCCCTGCAGGTCTGTCCAAAGCAACAGTCTCAGGAAGGACCAAGCCCTCCTGGGGGTTATCCCAGTGTGACCCTGACTCTAAGGGCCTCTGATCACCGTGACAGGAGCAGGTGGGCTCGGGAGTCACGCGGTCTGAGCTCGAATCCTAGTCCACACTCTACATCAGCTGGAGACCTCTGATGAGCTCATTCAACTCCCCAAGCCTCGGTTTTCTCATCTGCACAGTGGATCCGATCAGAGTTTGCAGCTCCTGGGGTTACCAGGGAGTTAAAGGAGACACCCCCCACCTTAGTGCTTAGCCCTTAGGGGCAACCACCCCCTGCAGGTCACAGCCTGGTCACCTTTGCCCCTCCCCCACTCTGCAGAGAGGCCAGGCTAAGGTGCGTGGTCCCCCTCTCTAGCAGATCCCTGGTCTCTTTCCTCCTTGGTGCTGTCTGATCATTGCACTTCTTTCTGTATTTGGCTGCCTTGGGTCTGCCCTGCTGTGGGTGGCGAGCTCCGCCCGTCCCTCCCACTGAACCCCATCACCCAGGGCAGAGCTGAGCCCGGAAAAGTGCTCACAGTTTTTTGTTGAGTGAAAAAATGGTCAGCAGCTCACATTTTTATCACCATCACCGTCAAGGACCATGATGGTCATGGTCACAATACACTCTCACAATACGTAAATGATCAAATACAGTGAAAATGCCCAACATCCCAGCCACTAGAGAAATGCAAATTAAAATGATGCTGGCTCACTCCAGTCAGAATGGCAATCATCAAGAACACAAGCAACAAAACATGCTGGTGAGGATGTGGGGAAAAGGTACCCTCATACCTTGCTGGTGGGACTGTACGTTGGTGCAGCCACTCTGGACAGCAGTGTGGAGAGTCCTCAGAAAACTTGGAACGGAACCACCATTTGACCCAGCTATCTCACTGCTCTGTCTATATCCAAAGGGCTTAAAATCAGCACACTACAGGACACAGCCACATCAATGTTGATAGCAGCTCAATTCACTATATCTAAGCTACAGAACCAGCCTAGGTGCCCTTTAACAGACGAATGGATAAAGAAAATGTGATACACATACACAGTGGAATATTACTCAGTCATTAAAAATAATAACTTTATGACTTTTGCTGGTAAATGGATGGATCTGGAGACTCTCATGCTAAGTGAAATAAGCCAGTCCCCAAAACCAAAGGGCATATGTTCTCTCTGAAATATGGATGCTAACACACAATTGGGTGGGGAGAGGATAGAAGTTCATTGAATTAGAAATGTGGAAATGAAGGGAAGGGACTGGGGATGGGAATAGGAAAGAGAGTCGAAGGAATCTGAATAACTTTCCTGTATCCACACAGGAGCACACGGCCAGTGAAACTCCACATCATGTACAACTGCAGAAATCGGAAGCTCTACTCCACGTATGTACGACATGTCAAAACACACTCAAAAAAGAACAAATAGGAAAAAATACATGATTTCCAAATATACCTGATTTTCTACTTTTTTCCTCTATGGATGAAGGCTGGAGAGGGTGCCATTTCTCCCCATTTCACAGACAAGGACACTGAGGCCTGGGGTACTCAGTTGGGAGTGGAGGAGTCTTGGTTGCTCTCTTGCACAATTCAGAGCCATCAGACGAAGGAGGTTCCCATTAAGGGCCTCTCCCTCCCCTGGCCCCCTCCCTCCTGGGGCCCCCTCCCTCCCCTGCGGCCTGATTTACTGCAGCCTGGAAATAAAGGAACCAGATGTCTCCCCGACTCCTCTTATGGTTTTGCGGTTCTTTTTCCGGATCAGGGCTCTGGGAAGGGTTTGGCGGGTATGGCTGGCCGCGGACTCCTGTGTTTACACCCCTCTGGATAAAGCCATCGACCGGGCATCAGGTTTGCATGGGGCACAGATGATGGGTGACAAAGCATATCCAGACACCTGAGTGTCCTATGATGCCCCGTGACTCTGGAGCCCAGGGAACTGACCCTGGCAGAGGCCCGAGGCTACGCCTGCCCTGGTCTCCACCATGTGGACATTTGGCACCCGAGAGCAAGCATCTGGGTGGCTGAAGGAGTTTCCAGTTGGCTTCCAGATGCTGACCCTGTGGAGCAGGGACATGGTGGGAAAGGGGACTCTCACAGCCTTAGCTGTTGGCCTGTGGACTCCTGGTCGATGGCAGGATTTAGGATGCTCAGGACACTGTCCAGTCTTCCTGGGAACCACTGGCTTGGGATGAGACTTTAGGCATAGTGACAGGTGGCCGGAGGCCATTCCACGTCAGTCATTCTACTTCCTCTCCCTTGGAAGGCTGGACAGTAAAACCAGCATTTAGGGACGAGAAAGCTCAGAGGGATCAACTGATCAACCACTCGCCCAGAGGCAGAGCTGGGATTCGAACCCACGCCACACCCATATGACTTTGTGGCACCTTCTCTTTCACTGCTTATTCTACTTCCTGGGTTAAGTAAAACAGAGACCTAAGAATTAGTACAGATCAGAGGAAGAGGCTTTTGGCTATAGTTAGAGAAGACTCACAGCTTGGCTGG